AGATTATTTGAGCACAAAGCAAAAAAAAATACGTCGGATATTAAAAAATTGACATTAAATAATATATAATATATTATATAGTCGGTTTGTAAAAAAAATTTTTATTTTGAATTTTTTTTATCCTATAATTCGGATTTTTTATATTTTTATAGTGGAAATCGGCGGGTAGACATAGTATAGATAATGTTAGTTGAACAGTAATGTGTAAAAAGAGGACTATAAGAAAAAAAACTATTGAGTTTTATGACTAAAAATTAATAATTACAATTACCGGTGTAAATTACATGGACTTAACCCAAATGTTAATATACAAATAATATACCGTCTGGCCATAACCTGATATGACATTTACAGTATATAGTCTCTGGTCGTTGCTTTCGAACAACAAACAATCCATTAGGTAATAAACCATTAAGATTAATTCTAAAACTTTAAGGGATATTTATTCAACTCCCAAAATCATCAGAAAATATTATCCCTTTTACCTTTTAATCTACTTTATATTCTACCTTCGATGCGAAGCTGAGAAGGTATTAATTTTACTATGATTTGTTTTTTTTTTTTGTGTCTGTATACTCTCAGTCTCAGCTCTCACTGAAACGATTTTGATGAAAAATATGTCAAAAGATCACAAATCGTATCTAGATGACATTACCCTCAAAAACTGAAAAAATGTCCCTCTTTCCCCCGTAAACGGGGGAAATCTCCCAAAAAATTACAAAATTAAAAATCGCTAATTTTCGATATTTTTTCAATTTTTTTTACTTATAATTGCCATAACTTTTTTAAAAATTACCGAATCAGTATACATTTTTTTTTTTTATAGGTACCTTAGATATTCATCTATCATTTTATATATTTTTGTTAACATTTGACCCTTGAAAAGCCCACAGGAAGGATATTCAAAATTGTAACTTTTTTACAAAAAATTAACTTTTTCAACTTAACTTTTGAAAATGTTCCGGAAAGACTGACACTTTTATATATACCTTAAATTAAAGCTTATGTAATATACTTTAATTTGAAAAAAAAAAATTTGACCTCTGGACTTGTCTTCATGGTGAAAATGACTACCGTATGCAAAAATATGCTATTTTTGTGAAAAAATTCTTGATATTATATTTTACATTTTTTAACATTATGTTGCTATAACTTTTTAAAAAATGCATGAATCAACTTTATTCTTTAATGATAAATACTTTATATATACTTCTTTCATTCGACATACTTTTTTTTAAAATCGGACCATTTCCCTTTATACAGGGGGGGTGCAAACCTTTTAAAATGCGTATAGAAAGTAGAACTTTTTCAACTTAACTTTTGAAAATGTTCCGGAAAGACTAACAATTTTATATATACCTTAAATTAAAGCTAATGTAATATACTTTAATTTTAAAAAAAATTTGACCTCTTTTTAAAAAAAAAAAGAAAATTAGATTTTATTCTTTAATTATTTTAATAGTATTTGTTACAAACTTAGGTGTTAAGCTATAATATTGTAAGAAATGTATATTTTGATTTTATTTGGTAAATACACAAAAATATCATATTTTTGAATAGAGTAGTCATTTTCACCATGAAGACAAATCCAGAGGTCAATTTTTTTTTCTAAATTTAAGTGTATTACATACGCTTTAATTTAAGATATATATAAAAGTGTCAGTCTTTCCGGAACATTTTCAAAAGTCAAGTTGAAAGAGTCAATTCTTTGTAAAAAATTATCATTTGAAACCATTTCTGTGGGCTGTTAAAGGGTCTAATGTTCACAAATATATATAAAATGATAGGTAAATATCTAAGGTATCTATAAAAAAAAAATTTATATTGATTCGGTCATTTTTAAATAAGTTATGGCAATTTTAAGTAAAAAAAAAAAGAAAGTGTTGTATAATTTAAATAGAGTAATAGTTATAGAACATTCAGGGCCACTTTGTGTATAAATGGTCTCATTTTTTCTACCGTCTTGGTATAAAAATATTTATAACATCTATTGTACTGGCTCAAAAGTTGTTATCGACTAGTCATATTCTTAATTAGATCATTTTCTAATTTATAGCTTAGTTAAATATGTATGTTACCATTAAATAAATAAAGTTGAAAATTAAGTATTTAATAATTGATAAATCAAGAAATATATGAATCAAAAAAAAAAACCCAGCACAGGGAGGTCGCGGCACAATGGTGACGTGGCATAGTTGGATCAAGTAAATGATATCTGACAGTGATTAAAATCACTATCAAAAATAAACGCTTCGATGCAAATCTTTAGATAGTGTTTAATTT